TGTCGTAAGGTGAATAATTTTTTCCCATACGATTACATGTAAAACCAAATAATTCGTTCCAACACCAAAACACACTCAAATTAAAGCTAAGCAGTGCATTAAAAAAATATATGTATAGTAAGAAAAACACTGAAAAATGCATTTTGTAGTTCTAAATATATAAATAACCATAATAGCATAATAATGGATTAAAAAAATGTAGTTTTATTTGCACTTTACCTTTGAGATAGACAACGGTGAAGGTGTAAACTGGTGGCGGAAAAGGGAGAAGGTAAATGATACTAAAAACTTAACATAATGTAACAATAACTTAAAAATAACTTATAAAACAACACTAATTTTTTCATTATTAATTTTTTCTTTTTTAATTTTTATTCACTGCTTTTTGTTTTCTTTCCTTCACTTCCACCAGCACTTTCACTGGATAGAGGTCACTTGGTAAAATATCTATCCATAGAGGTTTGGCTTTGCCTACTTTTTAAAATGTTTCTAAAATGACTTAGGCAAATGTCATTTCTTTGATCAGCAATACGGTCAGTGTGAACCTTTTTGGAATGTTTCTTTTCAATAAAATCAGTCACTTTCTGATAATACCTCGAGATTTCCTTTATCGAGCGAGATCCTTCCACGACGAAGCAAACACGCGGACTGAGACCAATGAACAGAAGTGAATAAAAAGTGACGCTGCGAACTAATGTAATGTCGTATGGTGAGTTTTTGTTCGTATCGTAGAACAAAAATATGTTCGAATTTCATGTCGTATCCTGAAAATTTCGTATGCTGGGGCGTTTGTATCTTGAGGTACCACTGTATACTGGAATAAATAAGAAAATTCAAGCTTTTTTAAGCACATCACTCTTGAAACGGCTGTACAACACTTGCATTGAATCTAGAATAAGATACGGTATCGCTGTATGGGGAACCGCATCTCTAAATGCTGTTAACAAACTTCAGATGGCACAAAATCGTTACATGCGTTCAATTTATAATTTAAACTTTATGGAATCAGTATCCGAACTCTACCTCACTGAAAATATTGACAAGATTAGTGAAATTTACAAGAAACAGATTCTATTGGAGGGCTTCAAATATATAAAGGGAAAAAAAGAAAACAGCTTCCTCAGAATTGGTATAGGTGAATGTCGCAGATCAACACGAGATACTCGTATAATTCGTGAATATAGTCTTTTAATTGTTAAACTAGAGGTGGGGAGATCCGCACTGATCTTTCAATTAATCTTCTATTGGAATAGTCTGTGCAACAATTTACGTAATATATCGAGTTACGAAATCTTTAGAAAATACGTAAAAAAAAAAACGGAAAAAAACTTAAGACGCAACGATATTTGTTGTTAATTAATTTTCTTTCTCAGCTCGCGTCTTGTTTTTGTTCGTTTGTGTTTTTTTTTTTTTTTTTTTTTTTTTTTTTTTTTTTTTTTTTTTTGTTGTTGTTTTACTGTTAAGATGCTTGTAAAAGGCCAACCTGGCCACAGTGTCTTTTGAGAAAATAAAAAAAAAATAAAATAANTTTTTTGTTTTTTAATTTTCTTTCTCAGCTCGCGTCTTGTTTTTGTTCGTTTGTGTTTTTTTTTTTTTTTTTTTTTTTTTTTTTTTTTTTTTTTTTTTTTTTTTTGTTGTTGTTTTACTGTTAAGATGCTTGTAAAAGGCCAACCTGGCCAGTGTCTTTTGAGAAAATAAAAAAAAAATAAAATAAAATAGTTTGAATATTTGTAAGTATTCTTACATTCCATGTAAAATACTATTTTAAACTTAGAACATCTAAATTGAATTACAGTGTATTTGGAGTTTAAACTATTTAAAATGCTAATTTACATGTATAATTAGAAATCCAGATGGGATCCAACCCCAATTGGTTTGATTTTTGATGCTTCACTGTAACCTGGGAGAGGTCGCATCGCTTTACAATCTATAGGAGTCGCTGCTTGTTACATCGATCCGCATTTTAGATATTAATTTTTCTCTTAACAGTTCAACTTTTTTCACTCTTTTCTTTTAAATATTATATTTTATTCTGTTTTGTAATTCAATAAATATACAGGTATACCTCGACTTACATTGTTTCAAGTTATGTCGTTCTCGATTATGCATCATTTGTCAAAAAATATATGGAAGAATAAAAATCAAGTTTAAGTCATTTTATTCGACTTTACAGAAGTTGTAATATCACTAGAAAAGCATTAAAGCACATAAAATCATATTAAAATATGTACATTTGCAGTAAATGTTAATATAATTATCATAAATACTAGAGAATGAAACATGAAAACACCTGTGTTTCTGTCTTGTCGTCTTTAAGTGCTCAATATTGGTGTTTTCCACGGTTGCTCCAATATCTACCATTTGGCGTCGTCATCAGTGCCACTCGATATTGGTAAATTTAATATAAATTAGTTTATTTTCTACTGTCACAAGATAATTTTAATATCTGTATTTGTTATTTAACCTTACAAAAGCACCTTATTTTATAATGTCTTAGAGAAAACCACATTCACAAATAAAGAGTCCGTGATGTAATGTAAACATCGCCAAATTGTAAACATGTACATTTATAAGTATGTACTGTACGTATATGAATTCGTAAATTTAGATTACTTTTTTCTGTACTATATTAAAAACTAAAATTTATTTGTTTGTAAGCTTAAAATAAATTCTTATTAACCATATATTATTAAAATGGCATTTATAAATAAAATACAGAACTGGGAATGGTTATTTGTGGTTAAGCCTAGTGACAAATAAATTTGACTTGCGTCGTTTTTCGACTTAAGTCGTCTTTCCTGAAACCAATTATCGACGTAAGGGAGGTATACCTGTATATGTTTACTCTGTTAGCCTTAGTTAATTATTTATTAACATTTGAATTTACATGTTAAATTTTTGGGAAATTTTTATAAGTAACTGAAAAATTCTAACTATTTAAAAAAACATAAAGCAATTAGTGATGATAAAAAATAATTTTTATTGTAGAAAAGGTATGTCACTACATGATTTAAAAAAATTTTATTTATGCTTGTTTTAGGCAGTCATAACATGTGAGTTTTCCATGCTTTCCACAAATTGGAGTTTCACAAATCGCACAGTAATTGGAAGTTTTATTTCCAGTCCTTGGGCATTTTCCACATCTTTTACTTTTATTTGAAGATTCTATATTTTTTTCTGTATTTTCAGGATTGTTATCTGGTTCTTTTATAAGTTCTAATATGTCACTTTTTAGCTTTCTGCTCAGATTTGGCATTTTGAGATGCCATTTTATGTAGGGCTTTATCAAACCTAAAGCTATCTCCTTCAAGAACTTTCTCTGTATAATAGGGCAGCTTTTGAGATTTTTGTTACATGCAACTATAACAAGGGCGTTAATTGCTGCTATGTTCAACATGTTATAGAATACTGTCAGTGGCCATCTCTGACTTTTTCTTGCAACAGAATAGCTGCCTGACATTTCATCAACTGTCTCTACTTCACCCTTTGTTGTGTTATAAAATGTTACAGCTTCAGGTTTTTTCTTATTGCCTGTTTCTGGGTCAATTGCATCGCTTTGATACATTGTTGACAACAATAAGACAACTTTTCATTTTTTAGGCACATATGAAACCAGAGTTGCAGTCTTTTCTGAATCCAAAAAGTGAAGAATACTCTTCTCTACCACTGGTGATAAGAAAAGATACAGGCAACTCATGTTTGTTTTTTCTTATTGTTTCAACTGTTGTGAGGTTGTGCTGACACAGGAGTTCTCGAGATAATGGAACACTTGTGAATCAATTGTCATACGTTACATTACGTCCAGTACCTGAGATTTGTTGTATCAGATGTTTCACAACGGCAGAAGGAGTTTGATCAAGCCTAAATGTATCATCAGGTTGTTTTCCTAAATAAACTTCCATATTTAGTGTGTAGTAGGTCCTAGCATCTACCAGCGAAAACACCTTTATTCCATATTTAGCAGGCTTGCTTTTCATAAACTGACAAAATGGGCATCTGCCACTAAAACTCCACAACATTTTATCAATTGTTGTGTACTCACTTATACAGAAATTTTTTTTACAGTTTTCTACCAAAAGTTCAAATATTTCTCTCACAGGAGCAAATTTATGAAGTGCAATCCTTACTTGACAATCTCTCTTGTCATCAAAGCGCAACATTCTCAACAAAAATATGAATCGCTGTTGATTCATTGTTGTACAAAAAATGGAAACTCCTGTGCCATCATTGTTCCACAATTCGTCAGTGTGTATGTGTGATGATTTCAATACACTGGAAAGATATAAAAGTCCCAGGAGAGCTTTTATCTCCACCAAGTCTGTAGGTTTTGCATCTTTTTCATGAGTATACTTCGATTTAATAATTTCTACATTGACATTAGTATAGTCGACTATCTTTTGTAAAATAGCATCAGGAAAAAAGCACTGCCAGCATCCAGAGGTGTGTTAGCATTTCTTGCTTCACTTCTACAACCTGGAAGATGAGTGACAATGTTGTGTCTTCAAGTGTGCACAGATTTGAGTTCACTTGAGTCCAAAAGAGAGAAGGTCTTATGACTTAGCCCTTGGAAGTTGGAAGTTGAAGAGGGGGTGAGGGAGGAGAGGAAGTTGTGATTTGAAAGGAAAGTGAAAGCATAGAAGGGGAGAAGGTGGGATCCCATTGGCTTGTTACATCGCACTTATTTAAGACAAAACATTGATATTTACAGGGACCAATTTGGTCAGATGAGACATGATGATACAGAGGATACAATTGGGATACATAATCACAATACCGCAGATAGAAGGTAACATACCCTCACTAGAGGTAACATAACACAGGTTTTGTATAATCCAAGGTACATAGATAAAGTATTATATATAATCCTAAGTACATAGATAAGGTATTGTAGATGGAGAGGACGACACCGCATTACAGTAGGGTAACACTTCATAAGTTAAAGTCCGATGCGCCTATTTACACATTGCAGGCTGAGAGGACAACCTAGTACAACATTAGGGTCACCCTGCGTAGAGGAGTGGTGGCCGGTTACTGTGAGCCTCCATACAGGCCTGGTCGCTGGAATGATCGAAGATCCCGCACTCGGTGATAAATTTTTCAAGCAGCGAATAGTTCTTTTTGGTGCTGAGAAAGTCCTCCCATGGTGGAGGCCAAGTCTTGCCGTTCTCCGCGCACTGAGTGATTAGTTTGCCCCTAGGTGCATCATACAGTGGACAGTCCAAGAGTGTATGGCTGATGTCACCTATTGTCGTGTTGTCACAGCTGCAGTAATTATTGTCTCTTTTCTTGATGCGGTGTAGGTAACTAGGAAGATTCCCATGGCCGGTTAGAAGCTGAGTCATGCAGTAGGAAGGGGTGAGGTAGCCCATGGCTTGGCGACCAGTGATGGATGGTAAGAAGCAGTAGGTAGTCCTTCCTGTTGACAAGTTAGACCAGTCCTTTTGCCATTCTTTATTGATCTTCTCTGTTATGTACCTGTGTATATAACTGATGGGGAGCTTATCAAAAGTGATAGATAGTTGGTTGCTGCTGGCGGCCTTTTTAGCCAGCATATCAGCCCTATCGTTTCCTTGGGAGCCAGAGTGCCCGGGAACCCAGCAGAAAGTGATTTGTCTCTGCTTGCCTAAGTGTCTTGCAAGATGCTGGATGTTCACTTCTGTTTTAGTGTTCTTTTTACTGCCATTTATGCTGTTTAATACGTAGCGACTGTCCATGGAGATGTTTATTGGGCCCTTGAAATTTTTGATGTTTTTGGTGATGATTATTGGGCCCTTTCCATGGCTTATAGCTCGGCCTGATTAACGGCGCAAAAGTCTGCCAGCTTGTAGTACTCTTCGTGTGTCACGGCTTTTTGGTTATTATAAATGACCATTGCCGCCCCAGTGCCACTGTCGTTCTTGGCACCATCAGTGAATATCTTCCAGTTGAACTTGGGGTGGTTGCTCTCTTCTTTCATGTTAACATGAATACTGCTCCTTTCCGCGGGGTGATTTTGGTCAGTAACACTGTTAATATAGCTGTCTATACTGTATTTGCTTATTTTTTCCTTTACCTCTTGATCCTCTTGTGGGTTTGTTCTGTTATCGATGGAAGCAAGCTGGCCACTCTCTGTTTGTTGGCTAGGGCTTGTCCTCATTAAGTTCCAAGACCACACTAAACTATTAATTTTAATGTGGATTGGGGTGATGTTTGCGATAACAAGGAGGGCGTCAGTGGGTGCCGTGCGGTATGCAAGGCAAATCCGAATGGGAAAGGACCTTTGTACAGATAGTAACTTCCTCTTTAAGTGGACAAGGTTTGCCCTGTTTCCCCAAATTTACGCTGCGTAAGTCAGCGCCGGCTCAATTGCTCCCTTGTATATTAGCTTGCAGTGTTTCGGGCTGATACCCCATGAGTTCCGGGCAATGTGATGTATCATGTTTGCCTTTTGACTGACTCTTTTGCAGAGTTCCTCAATGTGGGTTTTAAAGCTGAGAGTGGGGTCTAAGAGCACACCCAAGTACTTAAGGTGGGATGTTATCCTGATCTTGTGACTGTTTATATACAGGCAGAGTGGCCGTTGCAGTTGCCTCCTTTTTGACTTTTTTGTGCACACCAGGGCTTTGCATTTCTGGTAGTTAATGGGTAGTTTATTGTCCTCACTCCACTGGTTTATAATCGTGAGGATTTCGTTGCCGTTCTTTTGGAGCACATTGCAGTTCTGATGTCTCACCATCAGGACTGTGTCATCCACGAAGCCCTGTATCTGGGTGTCTCCTTTTTCAGGAATTGAGTTGAGGAGGTCATTGTATACGAGGTTCCACAGCCCGGGCCCACTGCGGAACCCTTGTGGGCAACCCCTGGAAATCCGCTTTTTTATGCTGATATTGTTGTTGAAGAAGCCAGCCTCTCTGTCAGTGAGATAGTCTTTGGTGAGATTGTAGATATTTTTGGGGCATTTAGCCTTCTTGAGATTAGACAGGATAGCTGGCCACCATAGGTGGTCGAATGCTTTTTTGTAGTCTACACTGATCAGGAGGGTGTGCATATCTTTCTCCCACGCTTCCTTTATAAAGTTTGTTGCTTTTTCAAGTGCGGTTATGGTTTACCTCCCCGGTCTGAACCCGTATTGTTTATCATTCATCAGGTTATTCCACTTGTAGTGCCAGTTTATTCTACCCACGATTAATCCATCGAGCACTTTCCCCAGAATGGGTAGGAGACTGATAGGCCTATAATCTTTTTCCTCTGTGGGGTTTTCCGTCTTTGGGATGAATTTTACACTGGCCAGCTTCCAGGTGTTGGGGAAGTATCCACTCTGGAGACAGTTATTATACAACAGTACGAAGGCAATTGGGACTGCATTGAAGGCCCTCTTTACCATTTCTGCCATCATGCCCAGGGGCTTTTTTATTAGCCAGAGTGGCTATGGCTGTTTGGATTTCCCCAAACGACAACCACCTGTTTTCTTCGCCAGGAATATCTACTTGGCAAGTGATCACTGTAATTACTTGTACTAATTATTTGTACTAAGTAACCAACCCGACACAACATGCAAGGTACACATGTAGTTTTAGAAACACCAGCAGTAGCTGTGCCACTTGCCTATATGGGCAGATGGCTAAAGACCTTCAGCCAAGATTACTTGGCCATCTAGACACAGGCCTTGTAGGGGACAGAACAGCTACTTGAGCTAGTCCCCCTTAACAAAAAATAGGTAAAACCGACCAATACAAATAACACCTACTTGGTAACCAAGACCAAAAATGGCTGCTTGAGCTGTTTCTCCTTCTCTTCTTCTTGGGGAAGGCAAGATGGCTGGTGCAATAATTCAAGTTTTGTTTTGGTATACAAAATCTAAGATGGCCGCTCAAACTGTCCCTTCTTTTCTTCTTCTTCGGGAAGACAAGATGGCTGGTACAGAAAATCCAAATTTTCGTTTGGAAAAACAGCAAAAAAGTTAGGCTTAGCACATCTAAGCCTGGCTGAAGAGCTAACCCTAATTTAAGCTTAACTGCCTATACCTTATCACTACAGTCCCTCTCCTAGGCCTAGATTTAGGCTTAACCGTTCTATACAGCTAAAACTTCCTGGACAAGAGCAAAAACACGTCCTCTCTCTCTGGAATCTAACCAGAAATCAGTGTGCACAGACTGAATTTGTTTTATTTTCTTCCATTTTGTACCATCTTTTCCTGTGTAGAAATTTCCGTCATGTGAGAGAATGTCATCTTCATCATTATCACTTTCTGATGTATCAGTATCAAACTGTATATTATCCCCATTTTCTTCCTCTGCATCAACAGTACTTCCAGCATTACTCTCCTCACCACCTAAGTAGTCATCTTCGTCTTCTGACAAAGTTTCTTTTAGCATAGCATGTATTCTATCTATCTCTTTCTGATCCATTCTATACACTATACACTCATACACAAGAAGACTATGAAACATGACTACAAACAACGACTACAAGCTGTCATTTGACTATAATATAGCAGTAAAATTTACACGAATAAGAAGCATCGATTTAGGCTTTGACAAATCAATAAAAATCATTTCCTAGAAATGCATTCAATCAAACTAATATGTTCCTAGAAACACTAAATTACTTGCAGGTGACAACTAACGGTTTGGTGATTGAAAATAGACAGAATGTGGGTTATGATGACCCACCACCTCTTACAAACATTACAAATTTACGCAGACATCAAGGGGGTGCTGCAGGTCACTATGATCCCAAAGAGCCATTATCTCTTAATGCGTTCAGAGAAACTGAGTAACAGCCATACGTTCTGATAATAAGAAAGAATATAGGAAGGTACTGTGAGTCACATCGGTAAAACCTAATTATTAACGATTCAGCAAATCATAATGTAGGGGGTGTGGGTCAGAATGGGTCATGCGATTTCTACCGGGGTAATATGGAAATATCTATGCTTACACATTTTGCAAAGAAACAAATTTCATTGTTTCTTTACAAAATGTGTAAGCATACTCTATAACTCTATATATATGATATGAAATATTTTAGAATTTTGATAAATCTTTGAATTTTGATAAATACAGTGGGTGATCGGTTAACGAACAGATCGGATAACGAACACTTTGGCGAAAGATTTTTATGTTCGGACAACGAACACATGATCGGATAACGAACACCCCACAGAACAAACACAAGAAGAAGCGACGTAAATTAATGAATACCGATTGGTCTTCCCTTGTCTTCGGGCAACAATTCGAAACTTTTCGGAGTGTGGGAGACGTCGACATCGACGCTCAAGCCGATATATACCGATCGGATATTATTCCTCCGAACTTTGAAACTCTTCCTTGTAATTTCAGCCTTTTATTTTTCTGACAAAACAATTATTTTATGTATTCGTGAGACTGTCGGGTAGGCACTCGTTAAGTTTTGCGTCTGTTTTTCTTTTCGAAAGGTGAGAGTATAATAGCAAAGGTAGAGAGTGGGCAGAAGATGCCTAATGTTGCTGGGCAGTATGGCGTAAACAGGTCTACAGTAGGCTGAAGTTCAATCTTATTTAAGAAACATACTGTATAATCAAGAAGACTCAAGCAGCTAAAGGAGTAACAAAAATCACATCTGAGAAATAAAGAATATCGAACAGTTCATAATGGAACACGAAATGGATCTGACGACAGAAGAACGCCAAGAACTCTTGAATGAAGAACACCAAGAAACTCGGCGAGATATGTTTTCTTCTGAAAAAGAGGATTAATGCCGATATCTGTTATTAAAGATCCTTTGAAGAAGTGGGAGGATGTCAGAACAACGGTCTTAGAATGGCATCCAAACCATGTTGAGGCTTGGGGACCTCTACAATTACAATGCTATTAATTACTTACGAAAAATCGTGAAGAAGAGAGAAAAGCAATCGACATTAGACAGATTCTTTAACCCTTTCAAAAGGAAAAAAAAACATTACTAATTAAAACGCAACACTGTGTATGTATGTAGTTTTATTATTACATATAAATAAACGTAGTAAGAAGGTATATATTTTTTATTTTTTAAGGTCTCCAGAACGAATTAATTAAATTCTCATTAAAACCTACGGTAAATCGATAATCGGTTAACGAACAATTCGGATAGCGAACAAAATCTTGGAACGGATTATGTTCGTTAACCGATCACCCACTGTTCTTTTAATACAAACACAGGTATTAAAAGTAGTGTTTATTGCTATATTCAAACCAGTGTTTAAAAGTACTTAAAGCAGTGCAAGCTGCAGGCAGTTAGATATAGTCAATTAGCCATTTTAAAATTTGGATAAATGAATAACATTGAACAGTATCAAAAATGTTTAATCCTATGAAAAATTTTGAATTATTTTATATTTCAGTAACATTACAGTATATAAAGTTGGAGACTAAAATTTAAAAAAGTTGGTATTAAAATAATATAATCATTTTTAAAAGCCAAAAACATGCATGAATTTTAAAAATATTTTTGTGTAAAAGTGTTTCTGTATGAAAATACTTAAAAATTAATATAATGCAAATATCAATTATTATATATAAAAATTAAAAAAGTACAGTGGTACCTCAGGTTACGAACACCCCAGCATACGAAATTTTCAGGATACGACATGAAATTCGAACATATTTTTGCTCCACGATACGAACAAAAACTCACCATACGACGTTACATTAGTTCGCATTTTTCATTTGTTTTTCTTACTACAGTTATTTTTTTAATGTATTACTTGGCTCTAATT